GGATATCCCAGTCCCAGATGCCGAGACTCCATGCTCCTTTCACTGATCTCATTTTCGCGAATGTTCGGAACAAGTTGACCCATTTGTAAGCTCAGGCTGTCTATGAAGGTCGTGGACTTGACGGCTTTGCCATTACTGTACGGAATAAGCCAAAATGATTCGGGCAGCAGCCGAGGTCGCGATGAAGAAAGCAAAATAACCATCCCACTATAGCCACTATAGCTGACCTGTTCATCTGGACACGAGTCTCTTGCAGCCTTCCACCTCGTACTTGAAAATAACTTTCTCGGTCCTTCACTTTTACCTTCCAAGACTCAAAGATGACGGTCAACCAAGCTACCTGGATCACGGCGTCGAAATCTTACCCCTTTGTATTGGGCCCAGCCCCCTATTCCGAGCCAGGACCCGGAGAAGTCGTCATCAAAACGCAGGCCAGTGCACTGGTATGCTTGGAATGTGGCTAGAGCACGGTTCGTGTCCGCGTTACTGACTAGAACTACTAGAATCCTGTCGAGTGGCGTGTTCAGTATGTTGACGTTGCCAACATACCGTTTGTTTGGGAAACGCGGACATTGCTGATAGCACCATGAAGAACGCGAGACATGTTCAAGAACAGTTACCCATTTATTTTAGGAGCCGATGCTGCTGGCTGTGTTGATCAAGTCGGTGAAAATGTGACGCATGTCCAGGTGGGCCAGCGTGTCATGGGGTTCGTAAGACCATCGTCTTAGGGCACAGACACGGTTCTAAAGTTTGCCTTGGTTGATCATACTTGCAGATATTGCATGGGCCTAGGCATCGACAAACCAGCTTTCGGTGCCTATCAGAAACTCCCCACTGTCTTCGCCTCCCTCGTCGCACCTATCCCGGACGACGTGAGCTTTGAGCAGGCCGTCGTACTGCCGCTAGCGCTCACGACAGTTGCTGCCGGCCTATACCACCCAGACCACCTCGCCCTGCCCTCCCTAGCACCAAGCCAGTATCTGTAAACAAGAGCATTCCCATCTGGGGTGGTTCATCTTCGGTCGGAGCCATAGCCATCCAGCTGGCAGTAGCCTCCGGACTCGACGTTGTGAGCACTGCCTCTGCCCACAGTCACGACCTCGTCAAGTCTCTTGGCGCTCATCTGGTTTTCGACCACAAATCTCCTTCCATTGTGGAGGACTTGGTTGCCGAATTTTCTCGGCGCGAAATTGCTGCTGTATTTGACTCCATCTCGGAGCCTGAGACCATGGGACCCATCAGCGCCGTGGTGGAGAGAACTGGCCCCCTTAAAGTTGGCGTGGTTGCACCGCCTACCATTCCTTTATCGAAGAACTTCTTGGTCAGCATGTGTAAGTCGAATTTGGAACGCTAGGCACAAGGATCATCCCCTGTAATACGGAGGACACACTGCTGACAATCTAAGCTCTTGCATTCGAGCTCTTCAACGGGAGAGGAAAGGGTGTGCTGGATGCTGTCTGGGGAACATGGGTCCCCGAAGCGATGGATTCAGACTACTTACAATTCAGACCAGAGCCCGTCGTTGTCGGCCAGGGGCTGGGAAGCATTCAGGATGGCTCGGACCGTCTCAAGCGCGGCGTTTCAGCCCAGAAGCTGATCGTCAGGGTCTAATTGTGAGGCCAGCGGACCTAGCCTGAAAGCCCAGATATTTCTTGTTGCCGCAAAATTTGCGCGAAGCTGTCAATCATAAGTTTCTGGTCAATACTTTGAGAAGATGCATAATTTTGTGCGTAGTGTCAAAGAAGACTTGTGTCTGATAAACTGAGTCCTTGCTCCAGCGCCGTGACTTGAATGTCGGTGGATAGGCTGTTTTTCATGTTGGCATAGGTGCTTTCCAACAGCAGGCCCCATAGCGGTAACTGTTCTCCATGGTAGTGAATCAGATTAACTCATGGCCTGAAATTACATCAGGTGTTGGCCGCTTGGTCACCCTCGAGTGACATCACTCCATGGGTCGAAAAGTGGACGACGGGATTGAAAGATGTCTACAAAAGAGATACAGAAGACTTCTAAGTATTGGATCTCTAGACATGAGCAATCTATATTTACTTGAAGGCGGCCGCCTTATCAAGGAAGTCGATGATACGCCTGATGCTGTCAATCACTGGGGTCGATGCCGTCTCCTTGGCCTCGATGTCCGTTCCAGGCGGAATGTCACCGAGGTCGAATCCATGACCCTTTCCCTCCACTGTTTCAAGAATCACCTCAATCCCTAGATCCTTCAACTTCTTCTCTGCATTAATGCTCTGCACAGGAAATACAGAGTCGTCTGCCAGTCCATGCAGCAAAGCAGTAGGAGGAAAATCTTTCGTCAGACCGAAAGCCACAGGGAAGAAGCGATAGTCGGACGGAGAAATCGCTTTCAACCCATGCTCTCTGATCTTAGCTGACAGGCCGAGCTCGCCAGTAAGGAGATCCGGGTATAGGGCCGCCTGGTGAATGCCCCTAATCAAAATCACTCTCTCATCAGTGAGAAAGTCGATTGGCTCGTGTGAGATGACCGGAGGTTTTCCCCTGAGCTCCAGGATTCGCTGCTCAACAATGTCGCAATCTGGTAAGGGGGGCGCCTGTCCGGAGGTCGACCCAAGGGTGGTATAGGGTGGGATGGTGAAGTCGAGCATCCCGTAAACCGAGAGCACGGCTATCGGCCGTGGGCTGTAAAGTTGGGCCGCTGTAGCCACGGAGAGATAGCCGCCGCCGCTAGAACCTGCAATGATTATGCGAGGCGTGAGGTTTTCGATGACCCACTTTGCAGCGTCCAAGGCGTCGTCGAGAACGTCTTTGCCGCTCGCTTCTGGAAGAAGGCGGTACGAAGGCGAGACATACGCCCATCCACGACGAAGTGCGGTTTCGATAAGCCATATGGGACTCCAGCTGTCCTTATGTCCAAGAACCTGGAAAGGTCAAATCAGCCGCCCGTGCGTCCAACGAGTAACTGGAACAGTCCCAAGACTAATATTGTCGTAAGACCATCGCCGTGTACTAACAACATAACCTCCATGATAATGTATCACAGCCGTCTGAGGATTGATTTCGTTGGAGATAACGTCTAGGGTCAGTTCCAAGGATTCAGAGACCTTGAAGACATGAGAAGTCTTTTTAGCTGATTGCCGAGACATGATGCTTTTATGAGGACGTGAGGCGTTGCGTTGAAAAGGGTAGGGTCGCAGATGATGGGTGAGTCGGTGTAAGACTTGTCAACAATGGTGCGCTTGGCTGTGGTTGGTTCGCCGAGGTTCTCAAGCGCGACTTTATCCCACCAATATTCCCCTCATCTGCGGATCTTTCACGCATAAGACGGCATGCCATTAGCCTGCCGACTGGCCGTCGGGGTTGTTTCGCTGGCCACAGGAGACCCACCTCGGCAACTCGGGTGGTGAAACCTTCCAAGTAAGACAGAATGCGAGTCAAACCCGTGATTCTGGATGGACTAAGTCTTTGACTTAGCAATGCCTTTGTCAACTAGGTAGATATACCATGGCGCACCCCCCCTGTTGGGAAAAGCCCCATACCTAGCGGCGGTCCCCG